AAGCAGCCTCCATGTCTCCAGTGTCTTTTCCCCCACTTGGAGCCGAACCCAGAAGGACATTTCTTTCATCAATATATTAGGGATTATTTTCCAGTTAGGTCTTATTTTCAGGGAAACCTGGTGATTTAAGAAAATATTTTCTCACCCATAATAAATTCCGGGTGGATATTGCATTAGCTAAACTTCGAAGTCAAGCCATACCGTAATTCCTTGGAAAGGTGTTACTTCGGAACCTGTAGCGATAAGGATGTTCTTCGTATTAATAACCTGAGTGCTGCCATCATCTTTCATCACGGTGACCTGGTTTTTGCCAGTTATTTTTCCAAAGCCAGGCACGTGTGTTACCTTAATAGGAGAAAAGAAAAATCTTTTTTTTTAAATTAAAAAAAAAGAAACTATTATCTGTTTCCAACATCTTGTGATTTAAATAATAATGGCCAATTGCAAAAGGAAGTTTTGCTTATCTTACCTCCTGCAACAATACCGTTGTTGTTAGTTTATTTATTTTTTTTGATGGAAAAATAAAAGAAAAGCACTTTTAAGAGATCTGTCTTAGTTTTTCTAAGCTGTTCTGCTAATAAAGATTTTCTCAGGATCTCTCTTTTTTCCTTTATTATTTATCCTCCACCAGCAGACTAAAGAGGTGTAAAATGCCTAGGGGTAACGCAAATAAAAGCCAGTGTGTGTGTTTGTCAAAAGGGTACCTTGTTTTGTTTAAACAGGTGAGCGATTCCTCTGTTAAAGCCTTCACTGCTCCACTTTTCTGTTCCATCATTTTCTCTAAATTCAACCGGAGACCTGTAACTGTTTAAACACGAATGAAGAATGGGAAGGAGTTGATTACTCTTGGGCATCCTGCATTCTTAAAGGAAGTTCGCCAAACAAGTAAACATTGCAACCCAAACTTGGGAGGGAGGGAGGGACAAGGAAGGGAAGACAGGAAGGAAGGAAGGAAGGAAGGAAGGAAGGAAGGAAGGAAGGAAGGAAGGAAGGACAGGAAGGAAGGATGGAAAGGAAGGAATGACAGGAAGGAAGGAAGGAAGGAATGACAGGAAGGAAGGAAGGAAGGAAGGAGAATGGAAAGGAAGGAAGGAAGGAAGGAAGGAAGGAAGGAAGGACAGGACAGACAGGAAGGAAGGAAGGAAAAGAGGGAGGGAGAGAAGAAGGACAAGGAAGGGAAGGAAAGGAAAGAAGGAAAGGAAAGACAAGGCAGAAAAGACAAGGAAGGAGGGAGGGAAGGAAGAATAGAAAAGGAAGAAAAGGAAGGAAGGAAAGATGGATGGAATGAAGGAAGGAAGGATGGAAGGAAGGAGAGAGGGAAGGATAGAAAAGGAAGAAAGGGAAGGAAGGAAGGAAAGACAGGAAGGAAAAAAGGGAGGGAGAGAAGAAGGACAAGGAAGGGAAGGAAGGGAAAGAAGGAAGGACAGAAGGAAAGGGAAGAAGGAAAGGGAAGGAGAGACAAGGCAGAAAGGACAAGGAAGGAGGGAGGGAAGGAAGGATAGAAAAGGAAGAAAAGATAGAAAAGGAAGAAAAGGAAGAAAAGGAAGGAAAGAAGAAAGGAAGGAAAGACAGGAAGGAAAAAGGGAGGGAGAGAGGAAGGACAAGGGAAGGAAGGGAAAGGAAGGGAAGAAGGAAAGGGAAGGAGAGACAAGGCAGAAAAGACAAGGAAGGAGGGAGGGAAGGAAGGATAGAAAAGGAAGAAAAGGAAGGAAGGAAGGAAGGAAGGAAAGACAGGAAGGAAAAAAGGGAGGGAGAGAGGAAGGACAAGGAAGGGAAGGAAGAGAAAGAAGGGAGGAAAGAAGGAAAGGAAAGAAGGAAAGGGAAGGAGAGACAAGGCAGAAAGGACAAGGAAGGAGAGAGGGAAGGATAGAAAAGGAAGAAAAGGAAGGAAGGAAGGAAGGAAGGAAGAAAAGGAAGGAAGGAAAGACAGGAAGGAAAAAAGGGAGGGAGAGAGAAAGGACAAGGGAAGGAAGGGAAAGAAGGAAGGAAAGGGAAGGAGAGACAAGGCAGAAAAGACAACGAAGGAGGGAGGGAAGGAAGGATAGAAAAGGAAGAAAAGGAAGGAAGGAAAGATGGAAGGAAGGAGGAAAGGAAGGAAGGAGGACAGGGCAGACAGGAAGGGAGAAAATACAGGAAGGAAGGAAGGAAGGAAATACAGGAAGGAAAAAAGGGAGGGATAGAGGAAGGGAAGGAAGGGAAAGAAGGAAAGGAAAGAAGGAAAGGGAAGGAGAGACAAGGCAGAAAAGACAAGGAAGGAGAGGAAAGGATACAAAGGAAGAAAAGGAAGGAAGGAAGGAAGGAAGGAAGGAAGGAAGGAAGGAAGGAAGGAAGGCAGAACCCCCGTGAAATCACCCTCCAATCCTTCTCAGATGGGTTCTTCCTTCTCAAAGGAAGCATCGTGTGCATTTGTTGCCTTGAGTCATTGGTAAAAACAAGAAAGGCTGGATACAAACAAATATAATAAATGTAGCAGGATTTGAGTTGTAGAGTTGTCCGGCGTACTCACTTTCAATGCCCCTGCTAGCGAAGTCTTTCCCATGAGCCAAATGGTACAGGTGAGAATTGTTTAACAAGGCCTGTAATATAAAGCAGTTTTCGATTAAACACAAAATCCACTCCAAAAATGGTCCGTTTTTAAAATAACTACCCTTATACAGTCAGGTAAAGTACTTAAAACTCTTGATTGTATGTTCACAGCCTCAAGGGAAGCTCTTCCATATTTAATGTTTGAGGTGTTTTGTCTTACCTTAAGTAATCATTCAGTCCACTCAACACTGTCTCTATACTAGTCTTCTACGGACACACACACACACACACACACACACACGGCTCTGATGAGGGCTCTGTGTCAGAGGCAGAGAGGGGGCCAGCGTCGTATGCCAGTTATCAGCTGCCTTCAGAGTCAGACATCAGNTACAACTGTATTTTTCATAGTAAGATGCAACTCCCCCCCCCTCCCCGCAAAAAAGAGTAAAAATCTGGGTGCATCATACATTGAATACAGCATTTTTGGCCTCCCAAAACCCCGCCCCCTTCATCAAAATGGATGTGCAGAGGCTTTGGGAGGCCTGCAAAGTGCTCCTGGGGGCTGGGGAGGGCAAAAACAAGCTTTTTGCTAGTTTTCCCCAAAAAATGAGGCATGCAGACGGTTTGGGAGGTTTGCAGAGTGGAAAAGCTTTTTTTTTTTAAATTTACCTCTTCAAAATCTTGGTGCGTCTTATACTCCAAAAAATACGGTACGCAACTAGGTGACATCATCAGTGTGGCGTTTGCTCTCTGTTTTATGCAGGAGCTCGCCCTTTTCCTACAAGGTGATCGTTGCATTGTAAATAGGAGTCGGTTTTGGTTTGCTTTGCAGAATCCCACCAAGTTCTGGCTCAGCTTTTGGATACCTTGCTGGTGATAGGGAAGAAACTTCAAGAGAACCCTACAGTGCGAGGACATCTCGTCGACGTGGCTTGCAAGGTAATTAAAAACGGTCAGCCGGTGAAAGAACTCGGGTTATTTAATTGCACAGATCAGGAATATCCAACCTTGGCAACTTTGTCAGACACGAGGACCTCAACTCCCAGAATTCCTTCACCGACAGTGCTGGCTCTGGAATTCTGGGAGTTGAAGTCCACAATAGCAATAGCCCTTAGACTTATATACCACTTCATAGTGCTTTTACAGCCCCCTCTTAAGCGGTTTACAGAGCCTCTTGCCCCCCAACAATCTGGGTCCTCATTTTACTCGCCTCTGAAGGAGCTTAACTCTGAGCTGGTTAAGATCGAACTGTTGGCAGTGGGCAGAGTTAGCCTGCAATGCTACATTCTAACCACTGTGCAGGAAGGGAGGGAGGGAGGGGAGGGCAGGAGAAAGGAAAGAAGGAAGGAGAGGGAATAGGGGAAGAAGGAAGGAAAGAAAGGGAGGAAGGAAGGAAGGAATAGCAATAGCCCTTAGACTTATATGCTGCTTCACAGTCCTTTCCAGCCCTCTCTAAGCGGTTTACAGAGTCAGCCTCTTGCCCCCCAAAATGTGGGTCCTCATTTTACCCACCTCCGAGGATGGAAGGCTGAGTCAACCTTGAGCCTGGTGAGATTCGATTTGCCAAACTGCTGGCAGCCAAGGCTTAAAGTTGCCAAGGCTTAAAGTTGCCAAGGCTTAAAGTTGCCAAGGTTTAAACACGGCTTAAATTTACCAAGGTTGGACAGCCCTGGTACAGCTCCATGTCTTTCAACATTTCTTCCCGACACAATGGGAAATTCAAAGCCACTCATTTTACCAGAAGGGTGGAAGGAAGGCTGAGTCAAACATGAGCTGGTCAGGATCGAACTGTCGGCAGAGTTAGCTTGCAATACTGCATTCTAACCACTGCGCCACCACGGCTCTTGATTAGATAGGTACACAGACAGACAGATGCACACACACACACACAGCAATACCATTTAGACTTACCAGTTCCCAATGCTTTTATAGCCCTCTAAGCGGTTTACAAAGTCAACCTTTTGCCCCCAACCATCTGGGTCCTCATTTTACCCACCTCGGAAGGACGGAAGACTGAGTCAACCTTGAGCCTGGTGAGATTCGAACTGCCCAATTGCAGGCAGGCAGCAGAAGGAGCCTGCAGTACTGCACTCTCACCACTGCGCCACCACAACTAATAATCATCATCATCATTTTTTTATTATTATTCATTGCATTTGTGGTCCCTCCGGAGACCGAGAGAGCTGAAAAACCACGGGGAAATCTTTTCTTTTGCTCCACAGCATTTGACGGATTCCTCGCACGGCGTACGGAACAAATGCCTGCTCCTGATTGGCTGCCTGGGATCAGTGGAGAAAGGGGGCTCGAAGGAAGTGGAGCGCCAGTCCCCCAAAGACGTCCAGAAGATCATCGGTGATCACTTTAGTGACCAGGACCCACGAGTGAGGACGGCAGCTATCAAAGCCATGGTAAGTCTCCGTGAGAAGAATGGAGATTTAGAATGAATGGTGGAAACGCAGCCCAAATCCCGTCACATTTTCATGTTATTTTGCAAAAGTTCCCTGAATTGCTATAACAACAGTCTGGTGTATTTTTTTTTTCTCTCCTATAGTTGCAGCTCCACGAAAGGGGTTTAAAGTTGCAGCAAGCCATTTATAACCAGGTAATGATGATGTCCTATATCATTATTTAAGAAGGAGCTCTAATATTTGATGAATGCAAGAGAAATATTAAGGGAATCTGTTTTGATTAGGTTTTGGTCTAGTGCTTAAGGCACCAGGTTAGCAGGAGATGGTGAGTTCTAGTCCCGCCTTAGGCATGAAAGCCAGCTGGGGGACTTTGGGCCAATCACCAGGAGACTGTGAGTTCTAGTCCCTCTAGGCATGAAAGCTGGTTGGGTGACTGGGCCAATCACCAGGAGAAAGTGAGTTCTAGTCCCGCTTTAGGCATGAAAGCTAGCTGGGGGACTTTGGGCCAATCACCAGGAGACTGTGAGTTCTAGTCCCTCTAGGCATGAAAGCTGGTTGGGTGACTGGGCCAATCACCAGGAGAAAGTGAGTTCTAGTCCCGCCTTAGGCATGAAAGCCAGCTGGGGAACTTTGGGCCAATCACCAGGAGATGATGAGTTCTAATCCCGCCTTAGGCATGAAAGTCAGCTAGGGGACTTTGGGCCAATCACCAGGAGACTGTGAGTTCTAGTCCCTCTAGGCATGAAAGCCAGCTGGGGGACTTTGGGCCAATCACCAGGAGATGATGAGTTCTAATCCCGCCTTAGGCATGAAAGTCAGCTAGGGGACTTTGGGCCAATCACCAGGAGACGGTGAGTTTTAGTCCCGCCTTAGGCATGAAAGCCAGCTGGGGGACTTTGGGCCAATCACCAGGAGATGATGAGT